TGATTTTTTTTTTTTTTTTTTTTTGAGTACCTCAGATAAAACGACTGTCGATACGTAAGAAAAGTCCCAGGTAATAATTCGGATATAGGCGAAAGATATCCGATCGTTATCGGTACACCGATACACGATGGAACACAGAGTTTTCGTGGAATTTCTTTAGATAAGCCCTTTTTTTGGGTTTTACTCTAAATTGACTCTGCGCTCATTTTTTATTCTTAGAATTGCACGACGGGCTTATCGCTGACGGACGAACAATTAAGTTTGACAATTATTATCGATTGATAACCATACGGATTTTACACGAAATCCTCGTATTGACTTATCGACTACGCGGACCTTGGAACCCAACCGCGTCCGACGATTGCGTTAGTATGTTTTTTTAGAAAGGAATTTCACTTAAAAAAATTTATCCTCGGGAATCGAATATTTATAACACGTTGCATTACTAATTATCCTTGTAAAGATTGGACATCTGTCAATTTCACTTTGTTCACGGTGATAGGAAAATTCTACGTTCGAGGCTTCGATTACAGGTTAAGGAATTTTTAGGATTCCAAGTCCGTCTTACTATCCGAGTCCAACGTGCCTTTAAGTGAATTATAGAAATGTTCATTAAAAGAAATTCTTGGTGCGTACTCAATGATTAGTAATGTCCAATTAATTAATTACAGGACTCCTAAGCAGACAAGTAGATTGCAACTTAAATTTGACTTTCGAAAATTTTAATTAAATGATCTCTCTTTTCCCTCGCTCTATCTCTCTCAGCTTAAAGTCATTCTCAAATTATTCTTTTATACCTTTTGGAATCTTCCGTGTATACACACCTAATACGCGGCAGTGGTAAAAGGGCTCACGAGAGTATAGAGTTCTTTCCCGTGACCGGTGTCCATATATATCTACGTATGCGGTTCCTCATCGGATTCTGGGACCGTTTTGTTTGCTTAGGACACAAAAATAGGCTCTGGATTTCGTTTGCTTCCCTGTTAGCCTTCCGTTTCAGGTCTTGCGAGCGGCACCATTGTTTTTTCATTTTGTCCTTTTGGTTTCTGTGCGGCGTACACAAGGGATGTGTGTATACGTCAAATAACGCAAAGAATCCCGAAGAAGAAGAGCCGTATAACGATATCGAGGTTCCAGCTAATCCTGAGGACAGAGATAATGAAGATGAGATACAGTCCATTAAGTCGAGCTACTTATAATCTTAACCCAATGTAAATTACACCTTACGTCCCTAAGGCTTGAATTAGGCGAGCGAGGCCACACGATAAGCACGTGCGAATTTACATGTGACCGCTGGTCCTGTTGCAGATTCCGGATCGGAGAGCGGTTCCCACAAGGCCGGCGTCGGCGGGGTACGCGGTACCGGAAGTCACAAGGGCGGTGGAGGCTCCGACGGGAAACCGACCCGCGTGCGCACGGTGCTCAATGAGAAGCAATTGCACACACTGAGAACGTGTTACGCAGCAAATCCTAGGCCGGATGCGCTGATGAAGGAGCAGCTCGTCGAGATGACCGGGCTGAGTCCTCGGGTGATAAGGGTCTGGTTCCAGAACAAGAGATGCAAGGACAAGAAGAAGACCATTGCCATGAAGCAGCAGATGCAGCAAGAAAAGGTAATTAATTTTGAGTAGACGCTGGATCTGGAAATGAAATATGGATGCTGTGGTACGAATTTTGATTTGTCCCTGTGTATCCCGAGTACTCACGTTGATAAGTCCAAGTGGTCCATCCGGCTAACGGTACGAAGTATTTCCCGTTGCAGGACGGGAGGAAATTAGGATTCGGTGGAATGCATGGGATCCCTATGGTGGCCAGTAGCCCGGTTCGCCATGAGAGCCCAATTGGCATGACGCCGTTGGAGGTTCATGCATATCAGCCACCCTGGAAGGCGTTATCCGACTTCGCCCTTAACACGGATCTGGATCGGCTGGACCCGAACGCGCCATCGTTTCATCATCTGGTCTCCCAGGTCAGATAAATCTCCTTGGGAATTGCTCTTGATAACGCGGACTGTTCGGACGTCGAAGATCATAGAGCTGGCGGAAATAAAAAAGAAAAATGAAAATGGCCTTTGCAGATGCACGGCTACGACCTTCATGGAGCGCCGCAACCTCAGCTACCGCCGCCTGGGATGCTGGGGGGTCCGATGAACGATGCTGGTGGCGGCGGAGGCCCCTTACCGCCTCCTGGGGCCCACCATCAGGGTGCTGGAGGTGGGCCTGACATGGGCCAGCATCCGGACAGTACCGACAGCTACGTAACTTATTTGGAAAGTGACAGCGACTCCCTTCATCACGACACCGGAAGTCCATAGTACATCATCAGGATCTTCGGACACCTCTTCGTCGCGAACACTGCGCGAATTTCATGGCTCATCGCTTCCGTTTACCTCGTGGCAGCTTTTCTGAAAATTCAATTATACGAAATTTACTGTTTTTACACAATTAGAGGGACGATTATTTTACTGCTGTTTCGCACTGTATTCTCGTGCGGATTTTTACGAATTTCTGAAATTTACTTGGTCCTGCGATTTATGGCCATATGAAATTTTGCTCTTTGGAGGGTGAGAGAGAGAGGGACAAGAAATCGTTAGGATTTTTGACATGTACGATTTTTTTTTGTCGACGATGCTCATTGATTTCAATTTTTTACGAGGACCGAGGGGAAGGATAAAATATTTAAAAAGAATAATTCCTTTCATTTGCATTATAGTCATCAATCACGTGACGTTCGAGGAGTGCGACTGTCAGAGAGCGAATTGTACGAATTTTGTAAATAAATAAAGAAATAAGTAAATAATTAAGTACGATAAATTAAGTGAGGATGGTGAACGCGTGAGTGGGAGAGAGATAGAGAGATTAACGTTTAAAGTCATTACCGCAAAGGCCGAGAATAGCCGAGACACGAACCCCACGTTAACCACGTGGTCACGTAAAGTATTGGATGGTTGAACGATGGTAAATATACTCAGGCCCACAAAGAATAATATAGTATAATATAAATAGAATTGAATGACGTCAATCCACGTTGTAATTACTATTATTGTATTACTATCAGAATATGCAGTAGCTACATCGAAACTAATCACTGGCAACAACGTGCTCTTTCGAATGGAGATGCACACTAAAAGTGAGAAAATCGATCGGTATATCAGGAAACGGCAATGGATCGTAAGATAAAAGACACAGAGACGTTACGACTGTATTATAGGTAAGGAGGAGCCACAAGGAAAGGGGCACAAGAACCCGACCTTGTTATTCGCGATACCAAAGCGATTTATGTAAATAAAATGAATAAGAAGGAATTTTAAAACAAGAAAAGAAAGATAGAACTGCAGGGACACACTCATTGCATTTATTATGCACAGAACGAATTATTTCGATGCAAAGGTGGACACGAGTCTATTTTGTTTAATTTTACGTAAATTGTAAGAGAACGGTGTGAATCAGAGAAAAAAGTTATTTGCCAAAAATTCAGAGCAAGAAATTAAACGCTTTATTCATTGTTTAGGCGTACCTTGGGTTTTACTGAATTCGTTCTACGTTATCTCTCCTAAATAATAATGACGGTTAGGATAAAAATGTTGATGACGATGATGGCGAAAATTTTTAGGTTTCAGACACGTACGACGTTTGTTCGGATCATCCTCGAATTTGTATAATATTTCTATGCCGGCACGATATATGCAATAAAGTGTCGAAGTAACCTAATGTCCCTTTCATTACACCTTTAATGTAATACGTATATCGAATAATCTGATATCCGGGTATCGTTGTCGTTCAGTAAAACCATTGTGGGAAATTTCGTCCATGATCGTTATTGATAATTCGAAGCTGATTATTTTCAAAGGAGATTCGTACATTCGGTTTTTCATAATTTTTGGAATGAGAATTTTTTCGGGAAAATATACAGAACGGTCCGGGAGAAGATACTAGAATGGTCAAGTTTTCACTTACTTGGTTCTAATTGGTTCTAATACAAAGGTTACACAGATGACCTTATTTTAATTAGTGCATCAGTCCTGAATAAACTCAGACGAATTATACAAGTTGATACTTCTACTTTTTGAGGACTGAAATCAATTTAACGAAACGTAAGAGAATACAGAAGTGGATGAACTTCAGTGGTAAATCTTAATCCCACTCTCTTGTACTGATTCGTGCTGCCAGGGACATCTATAGGTAAGCGCTAGTACTACCAACTGTTACTGGAAAGAAAGCAAACTGAATTACAGTAAGGTAGACACGAGGTGCTGTGAGACGGTTATTAGTTTGTGTAGTGTATAAAATTAATTAGTGCTCTGAAATAATCGTGCCAGTATGCCACCGAAATATAAACCTGTAAGTGTGTATTTTAAAATGTTTAATTATTATATAGAACGAATTGAAAAAGTTAGTTAAAATTTTAAGGTTATGGCGTCACTCAAGTTATCCGCTCTTATGGTAAGATAGATTCATGATTTCTATCACTATAGTTGGGATTGTATTTTCAGGGTGGAAAGGCGTTTCCAGTTAGAGGTAAACCTAGAGCATTGCCACCACAAGTACCTTCAAGTATACCCTCTTCCTCGTCGTCGGCGAGCTCTGCAACATCAACGGCTAGTGGATTAGACCTGGAAGCTGAAAATCAATTTGAGCTTGAGCTCTGTTGGTGCATACAGCAGTTGCAGATAGAATTGGCAAGTGGCAAGTTACCGGAGAAACAGATGCATGACATGGACAAGATTGTGAATATTCTGAAGAGCAATTCTGCTCCGATCGTAAAGAAGCGGCAAGTCATGCGAAATACGTTTGGCAACTATCGAGAAAAAATGGCGCAAGACGAGAAGAAATTTAGAAAACAAGTATCAAACGTCAAGTTCACGAATTCAACAGATGCTGAAATGAAATCTGTTTTCCTCAGGAAAGCTTCCGCAGTTGATAAAGTATCGACTGAGCATGATGAAGGGACAGTTGTGTATCCTGAGAAGACGCCTAAATTACAAATCAAAGGATTATCATCTGTAGATTCAACGGAAAGTTCTTTCAAATTTAATTTTAAAGCACCCGAGGTCTAAACTACAGAAATATGTATATAATTTTCTACTGCAAATAAATCATCTTCCGTTGGTAAGACCAATCTCCAATTACCGACACTACGCCAGCGCCTTAACAAGACGAAAAGACCGTCGGGAAGTTAGCGTCAGAAAATAAAAATTTGTTTTTAATGCTTAAAAAATTGCTCCTTAGATGCTCCTTATGTTTTCCTCATTGCTCGGCTGATATTTCAAAACAATTATAAAATATTCAATAAAACAGAAAAATATTTTTTAATTGCTTTTTAATCATTGCCATTCACGAATAGCTGGATTGCCTGCGAAAAGAAGAAGGGAAAAATCAGTTGCACAGAAATATTAAAAATTCGAAACATGGAATAAAGTTTTCCAAATGTTACTAAACACTATTGGATTTTCATTTACTTTCGAAATTTATTTAAAATATATAATTGAGGCTAAATCAAAAACACTGCAAAATATACCGAATTGAAATTGTAGAATGTCGAAAATAAATTACGCTCAAATTGAAATATTAATAAACTACGTGTTCGGAATGTTAAAATAATTTATTAAACCAATAAAGTTAAATATTAACATTCGGAAGTCAGAAATCCTGTCCAAGAA